TGCCAGTTAAGCGAATAGTCCAAGAGAAGTGTAGCTTAAACTGAGACCTCAGAACCAATGATGGAAAAAGCTGAGTTCCTTCTCAAATTCTAAGGGCCCGCCCTCATGCAACCACAACAGGTAAGGAGAAAATGAACAGACTTTTTGACTGTTCATCAACATGGCATCCTTTTGTCTGGTTTGTGTTTCCTTTAATTTGTTTACTTAATGCTTTTCTTCAATGGCATACGTAAGATGGTAGTTGGACAGGAAGAAGGTAGCTTAGTTATCCATTCAGCAAATACTCACCAAGTCCCTCTTACGGGGTCACATACCATTCCACACACGTGGAATACGTCAGAGAATAAGACAAGGCATCCACTCGTTATTAGCTCATGTCTCAGTGGAGGGGAAAGAAACCAGTCCGGTAAGCAATGTCACATAGAATGATGCCCATTGTGTTGGGATTATGTCACAACAAGTCATTATAAGTTGACAGTGTTGCAAGCTACTGCATTTAACACACCTAACTTACTGAACATCAGAACTTAGCAACACGGTGTGTGGCAGGACATGATTTTCCCCGTGATTTCATGCCTGATTTGAGATTGTCATTTAAGGCCTCTGCCCAGTATTGGAAAAGAATATTGTATGACAAACCATTAGCCTGAGATAAATGAAAATTCAAAATTCTAAGAAGTTTATCTCTAAGTGCATATTATTGTCATATTATCATAATTAGAAGGCGGTAAGTAGAAACATCATAAACAGAGATCATCGCTATCAAGAACCAACCAGGGAAGGAGGTAGAGTGGCTTGGTAGATGGTGGCGCAGTTCTTCTTTGGAGGGCACTTTGTTGTGGGGAGGACACAGTGTGTGGACACCTCAGAAATAAGATCCTTTAAGCTCATGAACCCAGGTGAGGTCACCAAAACCTTCAGAGACAATTGACAGAAGACACAAGATAGTCACACTAGTCTTTCTTAGCTCAAAGTCATCATTTCTTTCTCCTCAACATGTGACGTGCTGTATAGTATTTCTCTACACAAATAATCCTTTTGATGTAATATTTAGAGTCAGCTAGTTGACAAGAGTAAAGTGTGCTATCTCTAAAACAGAATCTAACATTTTGCTAAATTCTACTCTTTTCATTCACAAAAAGTTACTGCATTCAAGCTTGGTTGGTTCGGTGCTTTCAAGCCTGTTTCTGAATGACTGCCTCCATTTACTGGTTGGTGACATCTGATAGTAATGGCTTAATGGACAATATGGAGCTTCAAGTGCTCCATGCTCAGAGGGACAACAGGATAACTAGCATCAGAGAAAGAAGGGATACCCAGGAGCTAGAAGGCCAATCAATATTTCACTATTTTGTTATATATTAATCCAACAAAAGAAATAAAACACACAACTGCACAATATACAGTACTTAGCATCCAGGCAGTAGACTGATTAGCTATTGATTTTTTTCTTTATATCATAGAGGAGTGATGAGGCTTTTATTGGAAGTCCCAGTGCTGGTCCTGTCTCGAATAACTATTTAAGAAAAGGAGAGGAAAAGAGTGTATGCAGAGGGGTCTTTGACCTTTTGATCTAATAGCTTAGTTTAAATATACGAGGCACATGGAATCTGCAAATACCAAAATTAAACCCAGACTAAATACAAATACCAAATTTTCACATTTACTTCCTTCTTTGTAATATATGGTTAGGATGATGTGTGTGCACTTAGGAGGCATGGGCCTGAAGTCTGAGATTACTCTGAGTCAATAAATGGCTGAAAACCCACATGTACATTGGTTCTGCATAGAGGACCAGATGTGCATTGGGACATGGCAGGGGAAAGACTTCTAATTCCTGGATCACTGAATGTTTATTCAGCACATCATGCCTGGTTCTTCAAACAGAAGTTTTGCCCATTTCTGCATCCATATATCATTTCTCCAAACTTGCCAGATGGTACAGTATGCAGCACCTTGGCTACAGTGGCTGGTCCAGCTTCCTGGACCAGAATCCACTAGATTCCAGATGTCATCCACTGTTAACTGTCATCTGCTGCAATGCTGTTGGACTCAAGCCTGTAAACTGTCCAGAGTCATGCAGGAAGCCCAGGGGGAACTCTGCCATCCCTTGATTCCAATGCCACCATTGTGACAGTGATCTATGGGGGCTCATGACATTTCCCTGCAGGTTCTTGAGGATTCTTCAGCTTCTGGGCGTCAACCAGCCTTTGGCCTGTACCCTGTCACTTCCTGAGAGAGGCACAAGAAGGGCTCTCTTATCTAGGATCCCATGACTTCTGCTAGGTAAACGAGGCCTCTTGAAGGCTCCAAACCCATCAACTTGCTCCTAGCTCCCATTCCAGGACATCATCTGCATAGGCTGCCCTTCAGCTTCAGCTCGGATTCTCTTCCTTCTAGATGGATGTACAGCCACCTTCTTTTAGGCCTTTCCTGAGACATTTCCTTATCAACCACTCCCAACTTAACCCCTCATTTAAAATCACAGCCTTAAAGTGGAAAGGCTGTGTATACAGGAGAACAAAAGTGAACTCTAACCTCAGCCAACATATAAAACTAAGCCCAAAACATACTACACAGTTAAATGAAAATGTACGTAACCTTTTAAAGAATACATGTAGTGGAAAGTTACACAATAATGGTCTGAGCATTCATCTTTATAGATCCGACCCCAAAAGCTGAGCAAGAAAACTCAAAACATACATGCAGGATTGCATCGAACTAAAGAAGTTCTGCTGAAGATGTGAATGACTGACAGCACCAGAAGGTCACCTGGGGATTGAGATAAAATGTCTCAAAGCCTAAGCTTGACAAGGAGTTAATACCAAAGCACACACAGAATCAAACCCAATAGCAAGAAAATAGCTCAGCTTAAAAAATGAGGAAAGAATATGAGTAGGTAGGCATGTCTCAAAAGGAGACATAGATGACCAAGAGATATTTGAAAACAATACTCAAAATTACTAATCGTCTGGGCTAAGGTTTTACTACTGTGAACAGACACCATGACCAATGCAACTCTTATAAGGACAACACTTAATTGGCACTGGCTTACAGGTTCAGAGGTTCAGTCTATTATCATCAAGGCGAGAATATGGCAGCATCCAGGCAGGCATGTTGCAGGAGGAGCTGAGAGCTCTATATCTTCATCTGAAGGCAGCTAGAAGAATACTGACTTCCAGGCAGCTAGGATGAGTGTCTTATAGCCCACACCCACAGTGACACACCTACTCCAACAAGGCCACAACTCCAAATAGTACCACTCTCTGGGCCAATCATATACAAACCATCACACTAATCATTATGGATATGCAAATTAAACGATGAAGCATCACCTCACATCTGTCAGAACAGCTTTTAAAAAACCGTGATGGGTGTGGGGGAGGAGGATCCTTTCCTCTGTGTTTCAATGGTGAGATTTTAAATTAGTACAGACATCAAGGAAAGTGTTATGGAAGTTACATTTTAAAAGTGAAAATATAATTACCATATGATCCAGCAACTCAGTTTCTGAGCACAGAGCCATGCCCTGTGTTCATCAGTGAATGAATGTATAAATAATGTACAGAGGGCAGGCAATAGATTGTTCTTCAGACTTCAACTAGAAGGAAGTGATAGCATTTCTGACATTAGGGATGGGACCGGGGGTACCCATGCCAAGGGAAATATAAATGTAGAATATAAAGAATGAACTCTTAGAAGCAAAACCTGAATGTTGGTTACTGGAGGCTGCAGGCTAGGAGGGAGAGGATAATGTTGGTTGAAGGTACAATTAAAATTAAAATATTTTTAATTATAGAATAACATTCAAATGTTTTATTACAAATATATACATTGGTTCCAGCATGGTGGTTCAGGTTTATAATTCTAGCACTAGGACTGAATAGTTGATGTCAGCCTTGGCTATTTAATCTACCCAAGGACAGCATGAGCTATATATGGAGACCATGACAATGTTAGTGAGGTACAAATCAAGTTAAATCATGTTAATGTAACTTGACTTGACTGTTCTACACGGTGTATTAATGCCACTTTGAGCTCCAATTATACAATTATAATTTATTAATGCATAATAAAACAAATCATAGTCATTCGAAAAATCAAAGACTTAAGACACAAAAACTCACACATTACATGATTCTACATATGGGGAACATCTAGACCAGGGGAGCCTACTGTCATGGAGTAGCTTGGTGGACAACATACTTGGAGGATAAGAGTCTGCTCAGTGGGCACAGGTTTCTTTTGGAATGAGGAACAGTGTTTGGAATCAAAAGTCGGCATTTTTCCAACATTGGAAAAGCATCCAACCACATGGAATTGCGCATTTTTTAAATGGTGAATTTAAACCCAACTGAAAAGAGCTGCAAGCTCCTCCATGACAGCTTCCATTACCTCTTTCCCTGAAAGAACTGTTCTGGCCAGTATGTGACTTGTGCATTTGTTTTGGTTATGGTACATGGACTTTTCCTGAGTGTCCCAAGGCTTCCTGTCTCCTTCACTCATTGGTATAAATCCCTGAACCTAGAATAGACCTGGAACTAATACAGAATGAAGGCATAGGATATATTCTCTCTTTATTGCCTCCTTGGAGATTATTTCATTTTTATTTAATTTTTTATAAATAAATAATGTAGGAATAGATAACTAAACATATAAATGCAAAGAATTGGGAGATGGGGAAAAGGGGACGGTTACTCCATCAGATATACTAATTTCATCACATAGGAAACAACCGAATGGCCCAGCAGAACTTTGGAATGTTGGGAGCATAGGATTAAACATGAAGCACAGAGATCATTTTCCATTTGCAGGGATCAGTAACCACATGTTCCCTTTAAATTTGAAAGAGCCAAACTGCTTTGCTCAAAGCAGGAGAGCTGGAAAAGACAGAGCTCCTGATAAACACAGTATTCCCACACGTGCACATGCTCTGTGGAGGAACCCAGTCATTTACACAGCCTGTGCAAATGACTGGGGCCCAGGGTTAGAGGACATACCAATGAGTTCCTTGTTTCTGACGTCCAGGGCCATGTTCCGGAGTGCTGTGGCCACTGCACACACTACACGGTCATTGTCTATTCGGAGGAGCTCCACAAGAATGGGCAGGCCTTTCTCTTTCCGGACAGCAGCTCGGATATACACGGACCACTGGCAAAAGAGAGAAGGCAGAGGAGGTTAGAAATACAGGCGAGAGGCCCTATAAAGCCAGCAGCTCTGAGGGTTGTCAGACGGCTGTTTGCAGGAGTCAAAATGGTTGAGCTGCCATGACCTGCTGCAGAACAGGCTGAATATGTTAGACATGCATTGGAGGGTATTTGCTTCCCCCTCTGAACGTAAAGGTTCCCGGGTCACTCCATGGACCGCAATTCCTTTCTCTTGAGACAATGTTTTCAGCACTTGGGGCTGAAAGGCACTTAGGGGATATGCACATGTGATATGGAGGGTCATCTGGAGGGTGCGGAGGTTTGGGGTGGGCAGAGCTGACGACTGATATTGAGAGGGAGGGGGAGAGGGAGAGAAACCATCAAAATGCAAAGAGTGGTGCAGGTGGAATGAAGGTGGTCTTTGGAGACATCTATGAGGAGGTGCGTCACAGTGATCAACTGCCATGCATGCAAAGCAACAGGGCCTTTGTTGAATAACGGACAAGAAATAAGTAGAAAAAGAATGTAGGAGGGACAAGAGGAAAATATGACATTGGGAAGCAAGACTGAAAATAGTAATTTTCTTTCTTTCTTTCTTTTTCATTTTTTGAAAAAAGAGCATTTAAGATAAAAATGTATTATTTCCAGGGCCATCATTCAATCTCCTAGTTCATTTAAAGACACATTTTGTTCTAGTTTGGGGTTGGTGCCTTTATGGAACAGCTGATACTTCCTGTTGAATGAAGAGGTATCCTTGGGCAGATAAAGCCCTCAGACTCCGAGTTACTTAAGCAAACACAGGTAGCCCAAGCTTTGCAAATGTGCATGCATGTTTTAACATTGTTCCACAGTGTCCCGGAGACAGCTCTGAGAAAAAACTGATGGCAAGGGTTTGGTTGGTTGGAATTTCGCTTATGATCTGGAAAAAATACATTCAGGAACGAGGATTCATTCTGAGGGAACCAGTCCCCCCCACCCCTCCCTCACCAGGCCCGCTCCAGCCCCCCATTCCCATAGGGGCAGGCACCCCAGAGCTGGCTCTCACCTGTGGCAGGCAGGGAGCCCCCTCTGGCAGTGAACGTAGGGCATACGCCATGCCTGCCACATCCTCAGCCCAGCCCTGCATGAAATATGAGATTAAAAAAAAAAACAAACAACTTCATCCTGTCCTACATTAGATGTTACATTAACATTGTTCTTAACACTATCATCCAATAATGCAGGCTTCTCTTCTTTCCCCCTGGTGCCTGAGGAGTAGGCACAGAGATAAAGCTCATCGGGACGTCTCTCAGCTCCAGAGAACTACTCAACAGCTCCACATCCAGACAACAGTTGTTCAGGAGTCCAGTGACAGTGGGGAAACACCGAGGCTTGGATGCCACTACACTCTGATAGCATTTCCCAGAGTGGGAGTGTTCCTCCTGGCATCAAGTGTCCACATCCATGCAAGCACTTGTCCCAGACAAAGAAACATGGCCTCTAGACTCATTGCTTCCTCTGAGTGCCTAGCCCCCAACGAACACCAAAAGCCTAAGCTTACACAGCCAGTTATGGTTGGTCTTTTCTTTAAAACTAAGGAGAGAACCTGGATTGCAGAGAACAGGATTCAAAGTTTTGGTCAACATGGAGAAATTAAAAGGTACATATTAATAATAAATAAGACTGGGATTCTTTTGACCTGAAAGACCATTTCAAAGAGTTCCTGGAATCCTAAGAGATGACCTCCTTTCCACTACCAAGTCTTCCAGGTCCCATGCTCCTGGATTCTACAGTTGAGGTCTCTTGTAATTTCCCAAAATGTAGGGAGGCCAGCATCATCACTGTATCAATAACAGCATTTAAATATAAAATATTAAATAGCTACAACACAGGAAAAACTCCTGTCCCTTCTCCTTGGGCATCACACTCTTTCTTTTTGCTGCTGCCTCATGTCTTACTATTAAATTCCTATGATCAGACTTCAAACTCTGATTCATCCTCAACCTCCATCCTTCCACGCAGAGGTGCACTGCCATATCCGGAATGTCCCTAAACAGCGTAACTATGATGTGCTCAGAAGGTCCATCTCTACACTTCCCTCCCGTGATGGATGGAAAGACGGTCAGATGAGTGGAGAATGAAGAGCGTTCACTTGACTCTGTTGGGAACTTAATAGGAAACAAAGCAAAGCTGACCCAAATGACCATGTAAGCTTCCAATATGAATGAGTTACACACTTGTGTTTGGTGATGTGGAAAGTGACAACTAGGTAATGGGTTTGATTCACACTCAGGTGACACAAGGACAGAACAGTTTGTTTCTGGAAGTTTTTACTTTTTTACTTTCTCTGCTTTGTGGTGTGGTGTGTGTGTGTGTGTGTGTGTGTGTGTGAGAGAGAGAGAGAGAGACAGAGAGAGAGAGAGACACACACAGAGAGAGAGATTTCTCAAATCACTACAGTTTATGGCCTGCCATCTGCAGCATATTCAAAAGACGGTGCAAAATTGGATGAGTTTTTCTTGACTTTCCAAGATAGAAGTTTATAATACTCTTAAGCCATCAGCCTAGCAAGTCCTGGGAATGGACTGGCAAGCCATGTCTTGCCCAGCAAGAAGTTAAAGGAAGAGAAGGCATGATGTAGACAAAGACGCCTTGGAGTGGTGGATGCTTCACAGGTTCAAGCTGGACAGAAGCATGGGGCATGCAGAGTATTCCTGATAGAACCGAGCTGCTTCTCTTTCAGTGCAGTGGTGGCTTGAAAGGCGTATGAGTTGCCAAACGCTTCAATGGGAAAGGCCATCACAGGTGTCACTAAAGTCACAGCAGAAAGTTCCTGGTTGGAGTAAATAATCTGACTGAATCTCTACGTTTTGTCAACAGACTGATGGGAGTACACACTGAGCAAAGCATCATGGAGTGGAGGGACAGACCAGGGGTGACAGGGATGCCACTGAGAAGACTGACCCATGCGCAAGACAAGAGGCTCAGTGTTGTCAAAGGCAGAGAAGAAAGAGGCAAAAGAAGAGAACAGGGAGCAGGAGGAGGGCAGAGTAGGGAGATGGTGAGAGGGAGGAGGGAGGAGGGAGGAGGGAGGAGGGAGGAGGGAGGAGGGAGGAGGAATATGAGGACCAAGCCAAAAAGCAGAAACAGATGTCAGATTCATACTGTTCCTGACATACTGATTTCCCAAAGATGGCTCAGGAAAGCAAAACCCCTCAAAGCATCCTCACTTAAATCTAACAAAACACTCACTTGGAAACGTTTTGTTTACATGTTTGTATGTTTGAACTCATCTAGTCCTCAACTGTGGGAAGCACGTACCGTCGTCGTCAGTCCTTTTCTTACAGGTGATACAAGGGAGGTGTGGCACAATGCAGACTGGGAATACTCAGCCTGGCCTTGAACCCACGAAGCACCGAATCTGAGTCGATGAGCTTTATCTCTATTGTACCCTGTACCTCAGAAGGACACTACCAACTACGGACATCTTCATTTTGTAGTTTATAGAACTCCTTACAAATTAATCAAATAATGTTGGCTTTCATTTTATTAGTTTGAGTTGCCAATAATCCACCTAACTTCCTTCTGAAATCCTGAGTTAAAGATAGTTAAGGACTATGAAGTGACCCACCCGGCACTTCGATCTATTCTTGGGGACATCTGTCCTGATTCACTAGGACTGATACAAAAAGCCACATGTAACTAGAATATCTTGGTTGTGTCAGAAAAGGGTCACTCCTGTTTACACAGACTATTGAGACAATACTTCTGACAGTAAATATTACTTTCTTCCCATTCCTCCCGGGCAAAGGTTTGAGCCATCGTTTGGCTTCACAAGATGCTGTCAGAGTGGGACAGAGAAGAAAAAGCAAATGATTTGTTTTTAAGACTAGCACACAACTCCAGGTAAAAGCTGCATATATTGAAAGAAGATTAGAAGAAGCAGAAAACAAACCATTTACTTTTCTTTCTTTCTTTTTTTTTTGAACCTAAGGAAAAACTCTGCAGTCGGGTCCTTTATTTCTTTTATACACTAGGCCATGAATTCCTATGGAATTGGCTCCAGCAGCTCAGGCTCTTTCCCATTAGTTCTCACAAAGTGTGCTTCTCTGGGTGCTGCAGGCTGGCGCTTCAGCTGAACCCAGGTGCCCTTCTCTTTGGCTTCCTTTTCCTTCTGATCGTTCTCCTTCACCCGCTTCAGGAAGCTGTCTCTGCTCTTCGAGTGTTTAATGTGCTCAGTCCGCACATTGATCCTCTTGGCCAGAATCTTGCCCTTAACTTGCTTGTTTACAATGATGCCCACGGCATGCTGGGTGACACTGTAGACTCTTCCGGTTTTGCCGGAACACTTATGGTAACAGTTATGGGGCATTCCTTTCTGAACAGTACCCATTCCCTTGATGTCTACTATATCACCCTTCTTATAGATTCGCATGTATGTGGCCAAAGGAACAACTCCATGTTTCCTAAAAGACCTAGAGAACATATACCGAGTGCCTCCCCTCTTTCCCTTCGTGTTCGTCATTTTGGAGAGTTAACTGGAAGATGGCTGCCCACCATTCACTTTTCAGAGTCCACATGAAGTCTCCAAACTAGTGGGAGGGACAGTATGGGAAGGCTTTTTTTCTTCCCCCATCCCATTCCCCTCTCTCCCTGCTTCTATGAAGGTGTTCCCCATCCCTACTTTCCTGCTCTGGCATTCCCCTACAGTGGGGCATTGAGCCTTCACAGGACCAAGGACCTCTCCTCCCATTGATGTCCAACAAGGCCATCCTCTGCTACATATGTGGCTGGAGCTATGGTTCCCTCTGTATGTACTCTCGTTGGTGGTTCAGTCTCTGGAAGCTCTGGGGGGGGGTCTAGTTGGTTGATATTGTTCTTCCTATGGGGTTGCAAAGCCTTTCAGCTCCTTCAGTCCTTTCTCTAATTCCTCTATTGGGGACTGTGTGATTGGTCCAATGGTTGGCTGTGAGCATCTGCCTCTGTATTTGCCAGGTCTGGCAGAGCCTCTCAGGAGACAGTCAT